TTCTGCTGTTGTTGAACTGTGGCTTGAACCTAGGCCTTTACAATGAGCTACATAACCTTTTGCTTTGTGTTGTGAAACAAGGTCTCTGTAATTCACCAGACTAGGCTGAAAGTTGCAGTCCTCCTGCCTCAGCCTTGCATGGTGCTGGGACTCCACGCATGCAGCACACCAGCCACGCCTGGCTTGTCCGACGCATTCACAGAAATCCCCTTGGAAGCTTTAATGTCCTTATTGTTAATAACATCTCATCATGAAGAATTCTGAACATACACAAAGTAGCAAAAACAGAATAACCAATCCCTACCGCAGGGAGGGCTTCCCAAAAGGACCATCACTGAAAATTAGCAAGGCCAATTAAACCTGAACCCTGAGGGTAGGGCTTGGTGTCCTTTACAAACACCCCCAAGGGATTCTAATCTGCTTGAGTTTGAAACATAGTACCCAGAATACTTTGCCCCCTACCACCAAAAAAAAAAAAGAGTGCTCCTGAATCAGCATGGGGTCCCTCTATCTCCCCACTGACCCCAGAACCTGTGAAGACAGACACACATGCGAGACAGTGGACCGTTATCTCTTGGCTGAATCAATGAACGAGAGTATGGCAGAGCTGAGATTTTAAATCCCAGGACTACCCGACTGTAAAATGCCTTTTCTTCCTACAATAACAGTACAAGGCAGCAAGCTGGAACTGGCCTTACTTAACCTTGGAGAGAAAATGTAGTTCCTCTTGCCTCAAGACAAGCTGTATATTTGGTACTGAGCGGATGGGAGCAGATGGGCGTATGCTCATTACTAGCTCCGAGGGCTATGTGGCTCACTTAACAAGAGACTAAGCTCATCCCTGCCTGTCCAGAGCCACTCTACATAAAATTCTGGGGGCAAATCATTTCATACTTAAAGTAGGACTATGACTGTCCCAGTGTCACCTTGCCCTCGAGCCGGCTACGGCATGAGCAAACACAGCGTCATTTGCCTCTAGTCCAGTGGCGCGAGGCCTCAATGGTCCCTTGATACGGTGATGCTCAAGGGCAAGAGTGCATCAGCTGAAGACATCCTGGTTCCCCAAGAACGGAGTAGTGGAAAAAAAAAAAAAAAAGGTTCCACCTGGGGAAGGTCAAGTTCTTTATTAGCCTGCTATCTCCTTATCTCCCTTTTCACAATTAGATCATCAGCAACACAGGATTACCTCCGCCCCCTAAGTCAGCTTGATTCTTCCTCCAGTTAATGTGTGCACCCGATAAACAGTCTTTGTCTTTGCTCACTGAGGCACTGACTGCCCAGCCCATGCAAGCCTCTACTGTCTTTTTCTCTTTAGCCCCCACTGCCCCCCTTCTAGGCAGTTGAAGGATCAGTCACCCTCTGACACCTGCAGCTTTTCCAGACTTGGGGATACATGAAAACTTACACGACATGTGACAGCATTCTGTGAGTCACAGTACCGTGTACAGGTAAGTTACTGCTAATGCAATAGGGACAGGATAAAAAAAGAGAGAGAAGGAAAACGGAGTTCAGTGAAGAAAGAAAAAGAGGTAAAAGAAATGATGATGGTGCTGGGCAGAATGGCTGAGAAACTTAAATCTACAATTTTATGATGTCATAGAGAAAGACGAAACAAAAATATACTAAAACTTTGTACATCAGAAGGGTCCATCCGCCCAGGGAAAGAATTCAAATTGGTTTGTGTTTACCCAAAAGAGGGCAGTTGTGTCTTTTTAAAGTATAATTTACTTGTTACTGTGAACTCTTTCAGGTGCCTTTGTGCTAGTTCACAGTTTTCAAAACCAATAATATAACTTCGTTATGTTCTCACTTAGGCATGATCATTGCTGGTTTCTTTTGCTTTGCTTTTCCTTTTCTCCATCCTGTTTCAAGACCTGTTAAGAAGGAGCCCTAAAAAGAGGGACAGCCTGGGTTACCCACATCTGAGGCTGAGTGCAAAAGGCCAAGCAGCAAGGAGCCACCAATAGCCACCTTGGTGCCGCCCCAAAGCCCATCAACCCAACCTCTGCTCACCGCTGCTTTGTAAACAAAGGCCAGAATCTTCCAGGAGGCAACAGTACCTCAAGTTCATAGCAAAACCCACTGCAGACCCTCAATGAAGGCTGAATAAATTATATAAGCAAATGGTCTTGAGACTCCTGTGAACTCCTCCATTAATGAAGAACCTACTTTTCTGAAGACGGCCTCTTCCCATACAGGAAGCTTTATTAGACTGTGAAACAGGGGGAAGAACAGGGACTTTTTTTGCCAGATATTTCTGAGCACAGGACCTGGGTCTGAATCTGTCTCATTACCTTTTTTTTTTTTTTTTTTGAGACAGGGTCTCACTATGTAGTTGAAACTGACCTGGAACTCACTATGTAGGCTGGTCTCAAACTCACAGCGATCCTCCTGCCTCAGCCTCCCAAGTGCTGGGATTACAGGCAGGCGCCACCACGCCCGCCTGTCTCATCATCTCTTAACAACATGCCTTCGATGTGCCACTCATCTTCCCTGAACCCTGTTTCCTCGTGTGTAAGGTGCCAGCCCACAGGAGCGTAGAGTCATGGCTGGAAGGCAAGTTGAGAGCCCACTAGCTCAGCACTCCCCACCAGGCACCATCTGCCTTCTGTTCAGAGAGGCTCAAGTCTTCGAGGCAGAATTCTGGAGCCACACTGGGTTCTGATCCCAGTTCAAATCTTGACTGTTAACGTCCTTGCACGCATTTCCATTTAGGTAAAAGGGTGACAGTCACAACACTTTATCATCAGGTTGTGAGGACTGGGTAAGTCCGTATCTGTAAAGCATTGGTGCCTGGATTATAAGGATCATAGGACAAGCATCAGTGTTGCAATGACTGCAACCAACCATACCCATCAACGAGCAGCAAAGCAGTGATAAGATCACAATCTTTCCCTCAGAGCTTCCTGTGTAGGCTAAGGGAAGCCAAGAGGGGGAAGGCCAACAAACTCGTTAAGAAGTCATTGCACTTTTAGGTAAGAGGTACTGAGAACCCGCAATGCCAAAGGTAAACAAAAGAGAAGGACATGAGCCAGACGCCAGATATTTCTGAGCAGTGCAAATCAATTTTTGGCAGACACCTTGAAGTTTGCTGGTAGGGAATGGAATCATCAGAGAGGAGACAGGATTTGACCGAACGCGTGTGCACTTTCATACTAAGGTGTGCATTAAAGCTTCCCTGGGAAATCAGTTTTGCCTGGTTTCATCTTGTTACAACCAATGGTCCTGGAATACAGTACTGAGTATTCAGAGTCTGTTGAATAACCGCCATCCTTATGAGTCACAAATCCAGTGAAGGGCCATGTCTTTCTCTAGATGCATTAGAGAAGAACTGGTAAAAATGCAAGTGACTGCTAGCAGTTCTTTACCTCCTCTAAAGTTTAAAATGAAGATATAAACAAGGCCATCAGCAGGCTGATGCTTATCATGAGCAGATCACTGTTCTGCAAATGGCAAGAATCTAGAATTTCTCACTGAGAGTCAGGTTAAGGATGCTAACCAAAATCTAATTTATTATAGAAAAAATATAAATGCTCACCCACCTCCCAGTATCTCCTCGGCTCAGGATTATAAAAGGAGTTGTCCTATTCATCTGTAGGGATTCGAGCTGGCATATTCTGATGGCCTCACCACTGGACAGGGGGGGACTGTCCTCAGAGCATGTACATGTTTTTAGAAGAAGTTCCTTCATGAATACTAATGTCCTCTATTTAGAGCTTCTCAGCCTTGACAGTACTGTATTTCTGAGCTGGATGATTCTCTGTTGTAAGGGGTTGTCCTGTGCACTGCAGAGTTGTGGATATTTCTCCAAGATTCTTACACATCTTTAATTTTTATCTTATAACAAACCCCTTGAAGGGCACAGCCTTGTTTTCAACCCTGTTCCACAGAGGCACAAACTCATAATAACTACTGCAAATGTTTCCTTTCTGTCTTAAAATATATGAATCCTTTAATGTGCATTGAAATGTGACTGCTGTGAAAGTCAGCCACTGTTTAACACGCACAAGGGCATGGACCTTCCAATCCTGTCTCTGCCTGAACTTACCTGGGTCCCCTGGGAAATTGTTTCACCTCTACAGCTGCTTCCTCCCAGTCCTGCTTCACCCAGCTGTGAACCTGAGGTTGAACCAGGTGAGGATTAGGGATCCTCCCGGCTCTAACCTTCTTAATAAATTGGTCCTTAGCTGGGCGTGGTGGTGCACATCTGTAATCCCAGCACTAGGGAGGCTGAGGCAGGAGGATCACTGAGCTCAAGGCTAGCCTGGGCTGCATAGTGAGTTCAAGGCCAGCCTACTCTACACAGTGAAATCCTGCCTCAAGAAACAAAACAAATAAGCTGGTCCTCTGTCAGGAAACTTCCTTTCCCTTGCGTTACCTGGAGATTTTTAACCTCCGTGGTAACCACACAGCTACCATCTCACAAAGCAGCTGATGACCCCCATGTATGACAGGCCTCCAGGGGTGGGGTGCAATGACTCCCACCTGGATGGCTCCCCTATTCTTAAAGCCTCCAGTAGAAACCAGAGAATTGCTTAATGACCAACTCCATTCCTTTTACACTTTGTTTGAAACTTCAGAAGCAAGTTATTAAGTGCAACTAAGGAGAAAGGGCAAGAGAAGCAAGTCACTAAAATAACCAGAGCTCACAGAAGGCCCCACACACCTCAGGACGTCCCCTCTCCTACCTGCTCTAGACTCTGGGAACCGCCCCTCCTCCAACCCCTACCTTTAGAGACTAGGGATCCGCTTCCCTGACAACGCTCGTGGGAGCTCAGGAATCCCCACCACCACCACCACCACCACCACCACCGCCACGTTTTAACTGTGTCTCTAACTTCTAGCAAACAACTTCCCGATCAGGCCTGGCCTGAGACTGAGTTCCGTGGACCTCCCAAATCCCCAGGATCTGAAGCGGCGAGTCACTCTGAGACACCGCGCCTGCGCTGCGATCCCCGCTGGGCCGTCAACCCCGTGGCCCTCCAGCTGCCCGCAGTTACCTGATCCAGCAGCCGGTAGATACTGACGCCCGAGGTCTCCACCAGCAGCTGCCAGTCGGCCCCGGCCAGAGCGGGCTGCTGGAGCTCGGCGCAGACCTCCTGAAACTTCTCCTCCGAGAAGCAGCTCGCCATCCTGCTACACGCAGGGACACTCCAGCTGAGAGCAGGCCGCGACTCCAGGGGGTGAGAGCCTGGGGGCGGGGCGACAGATGGCCTCAGTGTGATTGGCAGGGGACAGAAGAGAAGGCGGGACTTCGTGGGGGAGGCGGGGCCTAGGGGGCGGATCCCGAGGGCGGGACTTAAGGTGGGCGTGGCTGCACCATGTAGTGGAAGCTGGAAAAGGTAAAAGGAGAAAAAAATTGATCTGAAGGAAGAAGTGGCTAGAGAAAAGGACACTTTTTAGAGGAGAAAAAAAAGACAATATCAATTAGAAAAGACTTCCTCAGGAGCCCGTTCTATATTTGCCCCCTATACCCTCCAAACCTTTACAATGTAAAATATCTTTGGCAGATTTGAGAGAGGGGAAGGTCGGAGCACAGATGCTTGCAGATCTCACGACTAGAACTATAGTTTATTATAATTTCTCTTCCTGTTATGCGTTTAAAAACATCACTCCCAAAAAAGGGTCCGTGGGATTCATCAGAGGCCAAAGTGCAAAAATAATTCAAAAATCTAATCCATAATCGGGCCGGAGATTTAGCTTAGTGGTTCCTCCGCCTGCCTTGCAAGTGCAAGGACCCGAAGTCGATCCCTGGTACCAAATCGATCCCCTGTACAAATAATAATAATAATAAATAGTAATAATAGTAATAATGGATCTGTAAGATAATTTGCTATACTGAAGGGTAAAACAATGATGTGAAAGGTGTTATACAGGACTTCTGCAGCTTGCACAGTTTAAATCTTGGCGCAGCTCAACCTTTCAAAGTCTCTTGAGAATCACTATGATGTTTCCCATGAGACAATGACACCTGGAGTTTTTAAAAGTAGGCAGTTTATGAACATCAAAGTGCTACAGCTACCACATGAGTGCCAGTGAACTCTGGAAACCCTTATTTCCTAGTCTGTGAAATGAGCCAACAGCTATGCTACAGGTGAAGTGGTGATGCAGAATGTGTCTCACAGCACCCATCAAAGTAAATGGTCAGTGAAAATTTTTGCCTGCTTAGGGTGCCCTATGGCAATGTCATTCTTTTTGTGCTTGAAAAAACACTAAGGATATATTCCGTCTAAGGCACTAAGCAATCCAAATAATGTAAGGGAAATATTATCACTCCCAACCTGCTAGGTAACCAAACTGCTGAGTTCGTGTTCTCTAAAATCAGAGAATGGATTCTAGGAACAGTGGAGGTTAAGAGTAGGAAGAATTTATTGAGAGAAGGATAGCTTCCGTCTAAGGGAGACCACCCCTGTTTTTCAAATGTGTTTTATTGAGCAAAGTCATGAGGTGAGATAGGTACAAGGTGGGACAAAACTAGTCAACTAATAAGATTAGAAGTATAGGGCTGGGGATGTAGCTCAGTGGTGCCTCTGCCTGCCTCAAAAGCACAAGGTCCCGAGTTCGATCCCCGGTACCAAAAAAAAAAAAAAAAAAGTATAGTTCCTTAGGTAATACGAATCCAGTGGAAAACCACAAGGTGGGACAAAACTATGGACAGCCAATAGGACTGCAGCAAGTGTAGTTACTTAGGTAATATTGATCAAATGGACATCAAATGAGGAAGCTAGCATGCTGCAAGCACAGAACAAGGATTTCTGGGAGGAAATGGGCTGGGAAGGTTTTGGTCCCCACCCAAGGTGATTGATGCCTCTTTAGAATATCAATCCCTGCTGTTCATCCTTAGAGGAAGTATGGGGTGGTAGTTTCTCTTTTTTTAATGGCTTTCAGTAAATGGGCCTCAGTTGTCTTCTGTATTGACTCCCTGCACAGCCCAGCCCTGCCTTACTGTTTTATATTTTCTGAGATTTGCTTGTTTGTTTGAGACAAGGTCTCACTATGTAGTTCAGGCTGGCCTTGAACTCACTATGTAACCCAGGCTGGCCTGGAATTTGCAGTGATTCTCCTGCCTCAGGCTCCCGAGAGAGTGCTGGGATTACAGGCCCTGCAACCCCATGCTCTGCTGCCTTATATTTTCTAAGGCCTGTTTTATAATACATTGTAACTAGCGTAGCTGTCTATAATACCACTTTTATTTTTCTTTCTTTTGTTTTTGTCAGTACTGGGGATCAAACTTGGGCCTAGCACTTGACAGGCAGGCTCAGCACCGCTGACCTGCATCCCTGGCCCTGTAATACCACTTTACAAGACAGGGCATGAGATCACATTTGGCAGTTTGTTTCAACACAAGCTGCTGCTCTATTAAATTCCACATTGGTTCTATTCTGTTATATGGAGTGAAAGAAAGGGAAGTGGGATTTTCCAAGTCTAAATGCACAAAAGATTAGAGAGATTCTTCCCTACTCTTTTTATAATGCTGGCAAATTTTTCTTATTTGTAAGTAATTACCTGCACTAAGATGTATTTCTTAAGAAAGCAGTCTACATTGAAATCATGAAGTATGGAGTATTTCCAAATATTCTCAAGGGATCCATTATAAAGCTGTGCTTTGATGGAAGCTGAGGCTTTATCCTCATGAAGCAATAGAAGAAAATGGTCCTGAGATTAAAAGTGGCATCATGCAAGATATAAGGCACAAAACTCAAATTGCATCTATCACCTGTGTTTAAAAGTGTATATGAAACTGGGGAGAAAAATGCATGTACACTTGGATATGTTGAGATTTACAATCCTGTTTGTTTTAGTTAGTGCAGAACAGAATAATGTAGTTTTGGGGTTTGCTTTTGTTATTGTGCGGTCTGTAGGATCTAGAAATGATTTACAAAAGTTTTCTCCTTGAATACTTGCCTTAATAGGCCAGCCTGTTTCCTTTATCGAAATAACAAAGACAAAACAAAAGAAAAACCCTCTCTAAACAAACTTCTCTCTACATGGCAGCCAAAGCGCCTAACCTTAAATATAGAAATGTTGGCTAAGACATAAAACGTAAGTCAGCTTTCCAGCCTGTGACAAGCTACAGAGAAAAGACACCTAAAAGTAGGGAGGTTTATTTTGGCACACAGTTTCGGAGGTTTCAGTCCATGGTCAGGTGACTTTGCTTTTCCGCCTGTGGCAAGGCAGAAATGTCATGGTGGAAGGCAGAGCAAAGCTGCTCACTTCAGGACATCTATGAAGAAAAGACACCAGAAAGAGTTAGAGAGGAAGAGGCAGGGACAACATAGAGACCCCCAGGGGCAGCGCTCCATGATCTGCTTCCTTCAACCAGGCCAGAGCTCCTAAATTTCCATCACCTCCATTAATGCTATTAAATTATGAACCCATGCGAGGATTGATCCACTGATGATGTCAAAGTTACCATCGTCCAATCACCTTCCAAACGCTCAACCTCTGAACACCGGTGCACGAGGAACCGAGCTTTTGACATATGAGCCTTTGGGGGGATATTTTACCTGCAAACCATAACACGTACTCAACATAGTTTTATGTATGTAGCTTGCTTAATTAAAAAGGTGCACAGCAGATTTCAGAAAACAAAGATGAAGCAATGGAAACCAATGACACAAGCACTGAATACTCTTAGAGTGGACGTCTCCACCACCACCAGACCATATTTTTCTTGGAGGAATTTCTACTGAGTAAACTGGTCTCAGCCATACACTCAGCTCCTCAGGAGAAGAGGGGTGATTTAAATGGTTGATGAGTGGAAAGGGCTACTGTGCTTATCTGGATCAACCCTCCGTAAGATCCTTTTTGGCACCTGTCCACTTGTTTTATCTATCTATATATATAAAATCTTCACCTGTCTTAGATTATGCAGCAGTCATGGGCATGAGATCTGACACCACAACTCCTAAGTAATGTACTTCTGATGTAATTCTGTTGTTGACCTGAGCCCAGTTCTTTAAATGGCTTTTTTTGTAATAAAATGAAATGCTGATCCACTGGCGACTTTATCATCTGTTTCTAAATTGACTCAGGATGCAGATAAGGAAAAGTGTGAATTTGGAGCTTCCTAAAATCCCAACAGATAGAGTCACCAAGAGCTGCAAGCTGAGATTCTAGTACTCACACATGAACCGAAGACATAGCTCTGGACCATGGCTTGTGGTAAAGCTGGACCGGGGACGTCTTCACAGAGACTGAGTTCTCTAAGCAGTTCCTGGGCCACGGAATCCACAAGGAAACTCATGTTCTTCCATGGGGGAAAAGCAATAAAGGAGCACTTGGGAAAAGGCCAGGGATTTAGCTCAATGGCACCATGCTTGCCTTGCAAGGGCAAAGTCCCATGTGTGATTCCTGGTACCAAAGCAAGCAAGCAAGAAAAAAAAGCACTTAGGAGAAATCAGACCCTAAACCTATGCCAGAGATAGGATTCAAATTTATATTGCCTTGCTGGTTGTGGTGATACACACCTATATCCCAGCGCTGGGGAGGCTGAGGGAGGAGGATCACTTTTCATTTGACACCAGCCTGGGCTACATAGTGAGTTCCAGGTCAGTCTCAACTATATAGTGAGACTCTGTCTCAAAAAGCCAAAAAAAATTTTTTATATTGTCTACACTGTATTGGAAGCTAAAGAAGATAAATTGACATAAAACCTAGTTCAATCAGGACCTTTGAACCCCTGGGATCCTTAAAACCAAGGACACTTTCGCAACCAGGACACATGTACTTACCACAGAGAAAGCAACACCTGTAGAAGATGAATTTGCAAAAACTGAATCACTAGGACCTGTAGAAACAGAGCTGAGGGTGTAGCTCAGTGATAGAGCCCTTGCCTAGCATACACAAGGCCCTGAGTTTGATCTCCAAGTGAGAGAATCAACAGCAGATATACAAATGGAGAACTAAACAGAAAGGGCTATACAAACTACACAAAAAGAACCAAAGAGAACAAACGATGAACCACAGATAAAAAGATCAATAGGAAAGTGATCATATAATGTATCCGTGATGAAGAAATAACAAGAAGGTCCAGAGACTATAATGAAAAAATTTAACACTAAGAAAAAGATAAGTGAATGTGAGAAAGAACCATACAGACTCTCTATAAATGATCTAACGTATTTCTTTTATTTCTTTCTCTTTTTTTTTTTTTTTTTTTTTTTTTTTTTTTTTTTTTTTTTTTGATGCTAGGAATCAAACTCAGATCCTTATG